ATCTATCTATCTATCTATCTATCTATCTATCTATCTATCTATCTATCTATCTATCTATCTATCTATCTATCTATCTATCTAGATAGCATACAGGTGTAAATGACTCTACAGCACCATGTGAGCGTGTGGCCTCTGGGATGACCAACCTTAAGGATGCCAAATGTCTGCAAATTGGATGTGCTAAATTAAAAAAACAAACAAATATATATACTGTATATCTGTGGATAGAAGCACTGACCCTCCAATCAACTACCGGTGAACGTGTGTGTGAATGGTGAATGACACCTAGTGTAAAGCGCTTCGAGTGGTCAGCTTGACTAGAAAAGCGCTACTTAAGTGCATGTGCATATATATATATATATACAGGGGTTGGAGAATGAAACTGAAACACCTCTCATTTTAGTGTGGGAGGTTTCATGGCTAAATTGGACCAGCCTGGTGGCCAATCTTCATTAATTGCACATTGAACCAATAAGAGCAGACTGTGAAGGTCCATTTAGCAAGGTAAGAGCACAGTTTTGCTCCAAATATTGCAACGCACACAATCTTATGGGTGACATAACAGAGTTCAAAAGAGGACCAATTGTTGGTGCACGTCTTGCTGGCGCATCTGTGACCAACACAGCAAGTCTTTGTGATGTATCAAGAGCCACGGTATCCAGGGTAATGTCAGCATACCACCAAGAAGGACGAACCACATCCAACATGATTAACGGTGGACGCAAGAGGAAGCTGTCTGAAGGGATGTTCGGGTGCTAACGTGGATTGTATCCAAAAAACATAAAACCACTGCTGCCCAAATCACAGCAGAATTAAATGTGCACCTCAACTCTCCTGTTTCCACCAAAACTGTCCGTCGGGAGCTCCACAGGGTCAATATACACGGCCAGGCTGCTATAGCCAAACCTTTGGTCACTCGTGCCAATGCCAAACGTCGGTTTCAGTGGTGCAAGGAGCGCAAATCTTGGGATGTGGACAATGTGAAACATGCATTGTTCTCTGATGAGTCCGCCTTTACTGTTTTCCCCCACATCCGGGAGAGTTACGGTGTGGAGAAGCCCCAAAGAAGCGTACCACCCAGACTGTTGCATGCCCAGAGTGAAGCATGGGGGTGGATCAGTGATGGTTTGGGCTGCCATATCATGGCATTCCCTTGGCCCCATACTTGTGCAAGATGGGCGCGTCACTGCCACGGACTACCGAACCATTCTGGAGGACCATGTGCATCCAATGGTTCAAACACTGTATCCTGAAGGAGGTGTTGTGTATCAGGATGACAATGCACCAATACACACAGCAAGACTAGTGAAAGATTGGTTTGATGAACATGAAAGTGAAGTTGAACATCTCCCATGGCCTGCACAGTCACCAGATCTAAATATTATTGAGCCACTTTGGGCTGTTTTGGAGGAGCGAGTCAGGAAACATTTTCCTCCACCAGCATCACGTCGTGACCTGGCCACTATCCTGCAAGAAGAATGGCTTAAAATCCCTCTGACCACTGTGCAGGACTTGTATATGTTATTCCCAAGACGAATTAATGCTGTATTGGCCGCAAAAGGAGGCCCTACACCATACTATCAAAGTATTGTGGTCCAAAACCAGGTGTTTCAGTTTCATTGTCCAACCCCTTTATATATATATATATATATATATATATATATGTATATATGTAGAAGCCGTTTTGGTTTGGGTACTTTGTCTTTTGGGAGGACCTGTCTCTGGCTAAGGGGGTTCTTAAGTTTGAAGTGAACTGAAACAGCACTAGAGCATCATCCTGAATCCCAGAGAAACTTCTGTCACACGTAGCATGCAGCATGTTTACATCTGTGATTCTGGAACAGTACGCTGTGGTCCACATGTCTTTCAGATTTTTACCAAGGCCCTGTTGGGACAAACTCAGGTCTGAAGAGCTCTCTCTGACGTGGCTATTCTTCTAGGTTTGGGGTGTCCAGACTGCTCTGGTTCAGAGCAGAAATGCTGGTCTCTGACTTTGTGAGGCTCGATGCTGTTTTCTTTACTGCAACATTGCAGTAGGCAGCTGAGGGGCAGGCTCCAGCGCAGACTCCCATCAGAGCAGAGGCAGGACAATAGGGGCTGTGTCCTGCAGGCTACTATGATGACGAAACTGCAGCCAAGCAGAAAACAGCAGTTTGTTCTGCTAATAGTGAATAAGCAAATACACTGCTGTCAGGCAGGGAAAAGTGACTCTCTTGTGTCCACAAAAAACACCTTCTATCATATAGATTGTATTTTTTTCCAACGCATGCCTATAGAAGTTTCACTTGCTCTGAGTTCTGAGTTCTTAAGGCTGAATTGTAGATACCATGGAGGCTGTGTCCTCTGGACAGAAAGCAATGAGTCTGAGCTTATTTTCTTCATTTTATACATACAGTCAGACATACATACATATGTATGTGTATATAAATGTATAGATATGTGAGGATATAAATGTATATCTATATATATGTCTCAGTTTTCTGCAAAATACAGTGATCATACAAATATAGGCTCAACTCAAAATACTGGTAAATTACCTAAAATATAACAAAACATACAATAATTGTCAGTAACTGATACTACTTGTGTGCGTAAATAATGAATGAATGAATGAAACTTTCAGATATGTATCAGGGCCCGTCTGCCTGTAGTCCGACATTTCCTCAATGAATTTGGTCCCATAGTTACAAAGAAAATGTAGGTTTAGGACGAATCTAAAAAGCAAACAGGTCCTCAGCAATGTGTTCCCAGACCGGAGTGAGAGGCAAAGGTGGAGGGCCCCCCGCCCGCGGCCCCCAGCGGCAGGGGCTCCAGCTCAGTGGAGCAGGCGTCCAGGTTGGTGCTGGAGTGGGGGGGGGGGCGGGGGGGGGAGTGGGGGGGCTGGTCCAGGCAGCAGCAGCAGCAGCAGCGCAGCAGCGCCCGGGTGAGGGGGGGGCACAGCCAGAAGAAGAGCGCGGGCGTGGCGGCGGCGCGGCAGAACAGCAGCATCTGGGCGGTCAGCTGCAGCCGGTCCTGCGTGCGCCGCGCCACGCTGACCGGCAGGTAGCTGCCCAGCATGTTGACCACGTTGTCAGGGATGACGCAGGAGCCGTAGAGGATGGCCAGCGCCACCACCGCGCAGTTCATCTGGCCCTCCAGCCGCACCTGCCTCCTGCTGCCGCCGCGGGGGGGGCCACCGGGGGGGCCGGCCTGGGGGCCAGCGGGGGGGCCGCTGAGGCGCTGGATCTTGCGCGCGGTCAGCAGCGAGCAGCAGAGCGTGAAGAGCGTGGGCAGGCAGAAGTAGCAGCCGAAGACCCACCACAGGCGCGCGGCCCGGTAGGTCAGGCCCAGCACGTAGAGCGCGTCGGGCAGCCGGGGGGACACGCCCAGCACGCAGCGCTGGCAGGGGGGCACGCCGGACGGGTCCCCCTCCTCCGTCACCAGCTGCCGGATCAGCAGCTCGGGCAGGGCCAGCAGCAGAGCCCCCGCCCAGATGACCAGCAGCTTGGCCCCCGTGGACGCCCAGTTCTCCATCAGCTGGTAGGACAGACGCACGCTGGCGGCCGCGCGGAAACGGTCAATGCACAGAGCGCACAGCGTGAAGGTGGTGACCCCCAGAGACGCCACCTGTGGGGGGGGCACGGACATAGAGCTGTTTCTGTCATGCTGATAAACAACAGAAGAAGAAAAACAACCATCCTCTTTAGCAGATCTGCGAACTCAGATGTCTGTGGGGAATTTGAACTTAGATATCTTCAACGATCCTTTATTTTTCTCTTTTTTGTCCAGCTTTGGGCTGGGTTTCATGTATTTAATGTAAGCAAAGGCAAACATGTCTGTATTTGTTCTCCTGTGTGTGTGAGCATGGGTGCACATGTTGGGGTTCATCACATTTCTGTCCTCTAGCTAGTGGGATTCTAGAGTCTTTAGGGCTAACTGTCCTAAACTCAGATGTGTTTGGTCCTTCAGGCACTTTGTGAGGCGTTAGCTCCAAAGGCCACAGACACTTTAAATCAGAGATGCTTAATAATGACCGGCTGCACTGTCTCCTACTTTGACCAATGTATGTTAAAGGCAGTTCTCCAGCTATTCAAGTCATTGTTGAAGCTTCTCAATGGGACTCATGGTTGTTCTTTTGAGAGGAAGAGAAAGAGGTGAACTTCTTCAGGATGTGTTCCAGGTCGGTGTTAAACTACCACACACACGCACACACCTCACCTCCAGATAGGGAATGATCTTGCAGGAGAACTCGCCCAGGAGCCAGTTCCAGGTGAGCTCGTGAAACACCACGAGCGGCAGGCAGAAGAAGATGACCACGAAGTCCCAGAGCGCGAGGTTGGCCAGCAGCGAGTTGGAGATGCTCCTCATGTAGTAGTTGTGGCACACGATGCACATGATGGCCACGTTCCCGATGATGCCCACGCTGAAGATCAGGCTGGCGAAGGCCACCACCGCGCACGCGCCGTACGTGTCCGCGCTCACCGGGTAGAAGGGGTTCCTCATCTGCTTGCGCCTCGCGCGCGTGTCTCCGGGCACGGCTGGCGTGGTGTCCGGCAGCTCCGGCCGCGAGCCGTCCTCATGGCCGGAGCTGTTGGAGCCGGGGCCGGCCTCCTGCGCCTGCGCGGCCGCCGCCGGGGGGGGG